GATGTTATAGGAGGGGCAAATAGTTTGAAAGTGGAAGCACATGGCACCTATTTGGCTTGAGAATCGAAGCAAAACAATATAAATAATGATATGAATGATAAATGGTAATTATAAAAGTTAAATCTTTATTAATCAACATTTTACAGTGGCCACACTAGTCAAGTGCACAAGTGGAAGTGACCGGGGAGTGTAGAAAATGATAAGTGTAGAGAGCTTTTGTAGTGTTGTAATTTACCTGTTAGGTTTTTTGTTAATTATAGGGAAATTAATTGGGCAGGCTAATTATATATTACCCCATGTAGTTAGCTATCTTTAGTATTTTGATCTCTACATCTTAAAAAGTTACATTTGCATTCCTATAGTTACGAAGGTGAAACATTTAGGTCTATTTTATCATAACAATATCAGTTTATCAACGAAAACATAAAAACAAAGGGCAAAAAGATAATTTTAATATTTGGTGGCGGATGGCGGCACCACTAGCGTCAACGTCGACACAGTTGCCTATCCGTCTCCGATGACGATAAGATCTACTCTCACCGTGATGCCACCCGCCTCCACGAGGAGCATGTCGTCAATCTCATCGTCGCCCGCACCTCTCTGCATCTGCATTGACGCTAATACAGTTGTTGAGCGGCAACTGTATCGACGCTAATGCAGATGCAGAGCGGTGAAAGGGCCGCTCGACGAGAGGTGGTGTTGGAACTGACGCGGCAGTGGGGGGAGCGGCAAGAGCTCCAGCGACCCCAGCTTTAGGTCAATGTTGGGATTCGCCCAACAAGTCAACGGCGAGGCGGCCACAACCATCTGCGTCGGCGTCGACGCAGTTGCCACTCAACAACGACATCAGCATCGACGTAAATGCAGAGTGGCACAGGTGGGCAACGTTGTGGTCAACGACACGCTTCTCGTGGAGGCGGGTGGAATCACAATGAGAGCGGACCTTATTATTGTTCAAGGTGACCAGGAAATTACGTCGGCGTCGTCGTCCGCCACCAAACATTAAAGTTATATTTTTATCCTTTGTTTTCGTGTTTCTGTTGGTAAAACTAGCGTTGTTAGGTTAAATGGTCCTAATGTCTCACTCTCATACTTATAGGGATATCAATGTAAATTTTTAAAGTGTAGGGACCGAGATGCAAAAGGTAGCTAACTACATGAGGTAATATGTAATTAGCCCGAATTGGGCAATATATTAAGTCATGCATAGTTGTCATTCTTTTTTGATGTGGAAATAAAATTATCCCACACAGTGGAAAAAGATAATATAATAATAATAAGAATGATGATGTGAAACACCGTGAGACTGATACCCAATGCAAGAGCAACAAAAGAATCATAAGTATTAACCTAGAGCCTTGAAGACAATCATCCTGAAAATCAAGGAATAGGTTTATTATTAAAGAAGCTTCTTTAACGTCATTCTTCAAAATGTTCAATGAATGTGAACAATGATCTTAGTATTGACTGTGCTTGTGATGGTACTCAGGTGGATCTATCCTTTTTAACTCTTTTAGTCGCCTAACATTGTAGATTAATGAACCATGGCTTGTGACAATGTTATCACTCTTGGTTAGGTCTGAACTGAAAACAAAATTATGGAAGGAGCACATGTTCCTCTGAAGGGATGGCAACAAGCAGCAGTTGCTCTCGGTTCAGCTCTCGGTGCCTTGATGGATCCTAGAAGAGCGGACTTGATAGCTGCGCTAGGTGAGACCACTGGTAAGCCAGCTTTTCAGCGGGTTCTCCAACGGATGAAGAATAGCAGTGAAGGCAAAGTAAGTTCATCTACTTGCCAGTTTAAGCAAACAATCATTTATATAGATATGGAATAACGATGCAGTTCCATATGACTGGATTTGTTACATAGAATCAATGAGATTAGTGAAAGTAACCTTGTATGTGGTTGTCACATTATAAGCATTACGTGTTTGACTGGTCAAGATTATTGTCTTCCTAAGACATTAACGTTACAAGATTGCACCAGCATACAACCAGAAAAGAATGTATGAGATAGATCAAATCAACCAGAGGTTGACGTAGGATGGGGTGCTGGCTCCACAGCAACCATAGCTAAGTTGTGGCGTAAGATGATGCCCTAGTAGAGTGCCAACTTTCTTAGGCAGCCTATCATTCTTGCATGGCTTGTACTTTATAGTTAAGAAGATTTGTACATTGGAAACAATTGTCCATATAATCGTAATAGATATTTCAATCAAATCTTGACCTCCTTCGATGGAGTATTTTGTCTCTAGGGAAAAAGAAAGCACTTAATAGTTTTATATCCATTTTAGAGGATAAGCATAACCATTCAAGTCTTTTTTCTCTATTTCTCATGCGCTGCATTGTTATACCTGTTGTTCTCTTTCTCTATTTCATGTTCAGGAAGTTCTTTTAGAGCGCCCACATGTGGTATCTGCACAAGTGTCACATGCCTGGGACTTACCGGAAAGCACATTTGGCTCAGCTTATGTATGATTCATGGGATCAAGGAACTTCTCCCCAGATGACCGCCCACCAGTTCGATTCATGGACACAGATGAGCTGGCATACGTGGCCACACGTGCTCGTGAGGTGCATGACTTCTGGCATGTGCTATTTGGCCTTCCCACAAACTTGATATGTGAGTCTGCTCTTAAGGTGATCGAGTTTGAGCAAATGTTTGTTCCGATGTGTGCCTTGTCGGTCGTCGGAGGCTCATCATGGTTCAGCAGAAAGCAAAGGGCACTATTTTTCCAACACTATCTTCCTTGGGCTGTTAAGGCAGGTGTGGCGTGCACAGATCTGATGTCTGTGTGCTACGAGAAGCACTTTCACGAGAACCTGGAGGATGTGCGCAGGAAATGGGGTATAATCCCCTGTCCTGATCCTCAAGGAAAAAACCAGGGTAGTATTTGATTGCTCTTCCCGGTGCCCTATCATTACTTTGCATCCGTGTTCAGCAAACACCTTGGAAACAAAGTATTCCACCAACTGGGATAATTATCATCAAGAGTTTTGACATTGGAAAAATGGATGTTGTTCAATCAGTGTTATTACTCTGAAAATGTATCTTATTGCCACTTTACCTTTAGCAAAATTTGTTCTTGCCAATAGATATGGATGTCTTCTTCTCCCTGCCATGCAGCAGCAGATGGTATACTGAAAAGTTCAAAGTTAACAGCCAGTGTGTAAGAACCTATCATATGTAGGTAAACAATTTTACTGGATGTTTTATGTGATGATGCATTGTGTTAGTACTGACTGAAGTTGGCAGCTGCAAAAAAATAATACCACAGCAGCTAAAATCATCATGATTCCCTGTTCTAAACCTTCCAAAATACTTTAGTGTAGAATTTCATCAAGAAAAGGTTGTGCAAAATGAAGTTATTTGGACTATGCTAGATCCATATTGGTAGATAGCTCGGTTGAAAATGATATATACAGTCAGTCTCTAAAGAGACAATGCATGATAATAATTTAATAAACGTATATGAAGAGAAATTAAAAAAAATTAATATAAGAACATAGCTATTAACATCCTTCATACAGAATAACATGACTTTCCTTTTTGTCTTGCTTCTTTAATCACATTCAAAATAATGTGTGATTTTTCCTGAAATATAATAAAAAAATACATGTATTATGGAGAGAAATAAACAAAATTTACTTATCTTGTCTTTTCTTATTCCCTCATCCAAACGCCATTGAAGGCTACGGTCGGATTTTGTACAAAAAGAGAACCTAATTTTTAAAGGAAAAAATGTTGTAAATTAAAAATTGGCGTCGCCCGGACTCGAACCGGAGACCTTCAGTGTGTTAGACTGACGTGATAACCAACTACACCACGACACCAATGACACGAAGATGTTGATAGTGTTTTTTAAATATATATTAATAAAAAGGTCGAAAATTTGATTTCCAATTCCAATAATCCTACAAATCCATACACAATTGAAATGAATGCAATGAGATCTCTCCTCCTCTCTCAATCATATTATTATTCGGTGAGGCTGACGTTTCATTGTGATCCGAGCAGTAGGGGACTAATAATGGTTTACGGAAAGGAAAACCAGAGAGAACTTGCATATCCAAGTGTTCTAAGAACGAAATCAAATACCTGAATGAAAAATGAAACAAAAGCACCACATCAAATATTAAGATGATTACTTCCCTGTGCATCTTCCTTCTCCAGACATGTTATGTTGGAGGAGAGGTACACCAAAATCCAGTAGTTCTTTTCTTTTAGTGTTTTCTCAAAGCCTCAACGCTCTCGCTCGTTCACGGCGTTCCTCATCTAAATGCTGTTTTTTAATGGCATTTTACCTATACCTAAATCCATTCTTTCAATTTTTGAAAAGCAATAAATTTGCTCTCTATGTCTTAGTATACCCTTCCAAATATTTCCCTCATCCGTCCATTAAATCCAATGTATCGACTAGTTATCGATCGACACATAACAATGTTGAACTCAAAATGCACTCTAAAAGGAATGCAACGTCCAAAGAACGAATCATAAAGACCATCACATAACACCTCCATGACAAAAGGATGTCTATATGCCTTTAATTCGGTATTACTAGGATTACAATAACTGTACGTACTAAATACTATCCACGTAGCTAGACATACAATATACTAACAACCAGAATGTCTACTCCGAGACAAAATTCTACCTTATTGTTGCAGGATGGTGGCCTCACCACAATTTTCGATCATGGTTGAGTTCCAACTCCAGCAAAGGTCAAGGCATCAATAAGCAAATCTTAAACCATGATATGAATCTTCTGTTCAACGCAGATTTTTGCAAAAGCTAATGCCTTCAAATTTCTTAGATCAGAAATGGATTGAAGGCCGAGTAAAAAGGATAAAAGTCATGGAATAGCAAGTGATATCTATCACACAACTTGAAGACGAGTAAATTGGGCAGGAGCTGAAAGGGATAGAGCAAGAAAGAAAGAATAGGAATTCGACAAGTCTCTTACCTGAACACAGGATATAGTGAAAATTATGGTGAGATGTAAAGCATAAATGCATCACCTGGATGAATTATCAAAAGCCTAAACTAGCATGTACAGATCAGAAACGAATAATAATATATTCTGGCTACTGTCAAAATGAATCAGGCATAACCTATCACATTGCTACCTAATTAAGATCCAAAGCCAGATGTAAATACCCATTATGCTGGTGAACATTCATCTGCTCTAATGCCCTGAGCATTTCTTCCGCCCACCAAACCCAGAAGTTCCTTCAAGTTTCTCTTTCTTCAAGTGATAAAGATGAAGCTGCAAAAATCCTACAATTTTTTGCTAATTCGTTTAGACTGAAACAGGAGATGCTTGCTGGTGTTGTAAACAACAGAGTGGCATAACAAAATTAGTTAAGATAAGATGGCTAATTATCATATACTTATTGAATCATTGTTTCATTAACTAAAACACAAGCAAAATGCACCACGTTAGATAATTACCTATGTCTAGCTCCATTGACTAACCAGCAACACAATGGCCATCTGAATTCAATGGAGGAACGACAACGACAACCTTTGCAAGCCAGTATCTTTCAACAAATAATCTATAGATGAGAACTTATCAGAATCTGTACTGTTAAGAGGTTTCACACAAATTGAGGAAAAAAGTTCAAATTTATGTCATTTGGAGAGAGAAACAAGATAATTCCCAGTTGTATAGATAAAAACTTTATATCCTTTTTCATTTTCATCCAACCCATAAGTTTTAACATTGGAAGCACCTAGGACGGTGCGCAGCAGAGGCAGGTGGCTGATGGCATGAACAACAAGGGGGTGGGCGACAGATAAGCATACCGAATTGCCCGAAAAGAATCCATCTACCAAACTGGTAAATACCATCTGGTACGTATGAATCTAGGCATAATTAGGACAACGGCACTAGTAATATATGATACACATATGTTAGGATCAGTTGGGCCTATCTCTATTCTCCTTAGAGCTGTGGGCTTCGTTGTGAATACTGAATAGTAGTCTACTATATGAGTCCGAGGGAAAGTGGGATGGGGCACATTCTAGTGCAGTGGACTAGACACCCTGGTGGGTAGGTCAGGTTGAATAATGATGGGTCTTTTGATGCTAATTTGCATGTTGGAGGGGCTGGCTTTGTGCTTAGGTTGGACGAGGGGTGCTGTCTACTGGCTAGCTGTACATATTTGGAAGATGGAGACTGCTGGTATAATAAGCTCATGGCCATCCTAGAGGGGTCCAGGTTGCAATAACTGAGGGTTCTCAAAGTATTGAGATCAGGACTGATTCTCTTCAGGTTGTAAGGGTCCTCAACCGTTGAGGAACTGACCCTCGGAAGTCCACCAATTGTGTGAGGAAGAATTTTTAGTATGTAAATGAGCTTCAAGCGTGTATTTCTCATGTTGTTACGAGGCTAACAGATGTGCACACTGCTTACTCAATTTTGCTAAATGTAATCAGTATGGCCCAACTGTGGAGGTCTAATTGGCCATCGGGTCTGGATCTTTTATGAGATTGGGCTGCCTTGAACCGACTCGTTAGAGCTAGAACCAACTAGTTCTTGTATCTAAGCAATGCATTAATTATTGACCAGTCATGTGAAAAGTATAATAAAGAGTTGTTATAACTTGGCACAGGAGCATGTTGATACCTTTTCTAGCACGATACACTTCTGCATTGTGCTAGATGATATGACCCTATTGCACTGAGCATAGACCAAATATTAGCCTATTCATATGTCAGACACTGATGCAGGGTTGGTGTGGCACATCTAGTACACATTCTGGTATTGGATGTTTCAGCTCATGCCAACACATGTTGATCAGCATGGCAATCTTTCACAATTGACTTAACAAAAACAATGCAATTCTTCCAAGCATTCAATCTTGGAGAAACCTACTGAACAGTGAAACTTGATTGCTTTGACAAGAAACATGGTTTCCACAACAAATAAGAGAGAAATGAAGCCGAACCGTGAATGTGAATCTTAATGTTACGGTATCAGCAATGCCTCTCCCGCTATATCCTTCTTAACTTAAAACAACTTGATTAAACCCTATAGAGCTAATATGATCAGTTGCAAAACTAGTTCAGCAGAAGCTGGTTGACTTTACTGTCAGTTGAAACTTAACTGAAACTGTTTTTCCTTCCCAATAAAATTACATGTAACCTCAGCTTTTTATCAAGGTGCATTATGAATCTACAGGAAACATGAACCTTCAATAAAGACAGACAAAACATCCCAACAACTATGAATATTAAATTGCTAGCATTTCTTACAACTACAATAGATGGAGTCTGCTATGAAGAATAAAAAATTGTTTGATTGCATACCTAAAAACCTATAAGAAATGCTTATCCTTCAGCTCACACAAATAACTTCATATAGTGTCAACTCGGAAGTGAAGCAAGATGCAATGTTCAGGTATCAAGAAGGATACTACTAGACAAGCATTAGTTTTATACTTTCAGCAACAGCAAGTTTCATATTTTTCTTCCAATTTCAACAAAATGCTCTTGATATTCACAAAAAATAACACATTTCTAATGATCAATGTTCATTCATTTTAACCATTACAAAAATAAGTGAACAACAAGGTTCTCGAAATGCCATATTTAGTCAGTACTGGAATTATAAAAAGCCCAGTGTCATTGAACTGTACAAATTTCTTGAGTTACCAATTTGTATAACTTTTACCTCAGTCTTTGAACTGGTTTAGCTGGAACAAAATCCCTAAGAACTGTCTTGCAATTCCCAACATCAACCCGATGTATAATTAGATATCCACATATGCGACCAACTCTGTTTTAGCAAAAGACCTGTGATAAGAATAAATTTGTTCAACTTGGTGGAGGAAGAAACTATTTAAAAAACAAAAAAAAAAACTATCCTGATTAGATGCAAATATAATAGAATCCCGTAAAAGGAAGTAATGCGAGATTATCCAATGATAACCAGCCAATATAAGGAAAAAATATATAGAGTGAGAACCAATTTACAGAGAGTCGAGATTCTCACCAAATTTCCAAAAATTGCTTAAAGAAACATTTCTATCGAGCATCACCTCTCACAGCTAGGACCTCCAATGATTCCTTAAAATATTCCAAAAAACATACAACAGAGACCTATCTTGTTCCCAGTAAGCAACATCAAAATGTTAAACATTTAGTTAATTCTGATGCAATTCAGGGCAGCATGGTCTTCCTTCCATATTTGTGCATGTCAGAAAGATACACAGAGAAACGGTGTTTTCTAAATAGGGATAGGTGAAGGTTTGACAGAGTGGTAGACAAGAATACAAAGTTGGAAAAAAGATATAAAAAGGGAAAGAAGAAGAGAAAACCCCACTGTCACCCAGAATCCTTTTGTCATAAGCAAACAGAAACTAGACTTTATGTATAAACAAAACAGTAACAACTCAATACAATCATATCCAATTTGATCTAATCAACTTAGTCCTACCATGTAAAATTTGATCTGATCAACTGACTCCTAAACCTACCCATATTCTGAACCATAAGTCGACATTAATTGGATCCAATCAACTGACTCCAAAACCTATCATCCTACCATAATCAGAACACAAACATTAAGCTATACAGAAACACTTTTCCCTACACACACTGATCTTAGGACTCTTTGATGAGAGAACATATTTCCGTCAAGACTTTCAGAAATAAATAAATATATATATATATATATATATATATATATATATATCTGATTATCTTATCCAAAGCAGGAACAAATAAAATTATGAATATGGAATTGCTCGTTAATATTGTCTGATGTTCAACCACCATTTGTGAACCCCATTTTTTCTAATTCTCTCACTGTCAACTCCTCTGTCTCTCTAACTCGTAAACAGAAACTCACTAATAATAAGATAAAAATGCACCTAGCTACCTATGAAGCTTCTCAATTAAGATTGACAGATAGTATGTTAGAAAGTGAAACTAACAAGTTACTCCTGCATATTACATGTAAACACCCATTTATTCAGGTGATCACTTAATGAATGTCATATTTCTTATACCTCAATTAGATGTCACTTTGCTTAAAGAAGCTTAAAAAGTTCTAAGTAATGTTTCACACACCCAGGTACGGTCATCTTTGAACACAAGCAGAGCTCATAACAGTTAGTTCCCTGTTAACAGCATACAAGTTAATATTTCAAGAGCCTCATCCGGCGAACTGACTAACACAGTTAATCCACATGTACTGTAGGTCTGTTAAAAGTGTGATAATTAACAACAGAATTTTCTAATCAAGATACATATATTAAATTGCTCGTGTTCAATTGATTTGTGTTAAGTCTACCAATCTTTATCAAGCATTCTGATCTATATGCTTTTATGAGATTGTGATGCTTAAAATTAGGATTTCACTGGACCTAATTATTTGGATCTTCATAAAGGATACAGATAAGGTAGAGGCTCTAAAATGTTTATATAATAAAATGTAATTCTATATGTAGGTAAATGATAATCACAAAATGAGGATCGATAAATACAGCAGGATCTGACAACATTAGATTAGTTTATATTTGCAAACCCCTTCCACCCAGTTTCATACATCAATCGGTTGATACATGTTGGTAAATTTCCTAATTAAAATAATTTAACATTGGCATGGCTTCAAGATATATAGCAGTTTTGACTTATTAGGAATTCAGTTCATTAGCTAAGAAACCAAATATCTGACAATGGCTTCAATGGCTTGATAAACAACTTTGGATTGCACCACCAAGGCATGAGGCTCCTCCCACTGCACTACTGGGAGTAAAATTAATGCACCCATATCTAGCAACCAAATAGATTGTCAGTCATCAAGAAGCTGAACTATTTAATGTCAGTCAAGAAATCTGACCTCCCATGAACTTACTGACCTTGTCCCTCATAAAGTATAGCAAAAGCATAATCATATTGGTACAAGAACTTGAGGGGGGTGGGAAACTTCCTAGCTAATTTTATAATGCAACAGTAACTAAAGCATGACATGCTGCAAGTTCTGTATGATCACGCAATAAGATATCTATCGGGTTCATCAATCTTCAGAGAGCTAGAAAAAAGTAAATTACATTAAGATTCTAACAAAAGTAAATTAAACAATTGATCTTCAGCCTAGTTTTTCATTCGTAGCTATGAATCTTAAGCATTGAAAGGAAGGGCAAAGTTGAAGTTCCTGTTTCAAAGCCGGCTTCTTTAACCAATTAAGTGAATCACACTGCAAGCTCACCGCTCACGGGCTTAAGACTTATGATGCCAGGCCATTTTTATAGGAAAGAAGTCTGTGTTATTTGTATTTTAATTTTAAACATTCCATATCCAGAGAATGGTAACAAATAACATCAAATAAATTTCACCTCAACCATATCCACAAACTATGCAACTGGAACATTATGTACGATTGGGATAAGTACAAAAATAAAAGACACATGTTATTGATTGGATATACAACATGGACTTACATTCAGGAAGTTAGTTTGTTGGATGCAGTTGCAAAACAATTCAAATGTACATATTCCTCACAAAAGACTAAACCAGATACACCAACTCTGATTCTCTGATAGCATCTTTTTTTTCCTAAAATCAACTGTAAGAAGATGAAAATTGTCACACATCTGAAGGCATACTCGCAGACATCTCGGAGTAGAACTGAAACAAAATACAAGGAAATACAAATGATGATTCTAAACAGAATGTTATCCACTTAAAGACAATGCAGAATTTCAAATTTTATCTAACAAAGTTGTGTAAAAAAGAAATCAAAGATTACCATATCAAAACATGTACATAGAACTGATCTTAACCTGGTCTCCAACAATTAAGACCAGGAATATTCGGCCTTCCTGGAAGCACTTGGGGAAAACCATGGCCTGTAGAAATGAAAAGACACCAATCAATCAAAAATAGGATGTGTATCAATCGTATGACTTTTAATATATCTTTGTCCAAGTCAACACAACCTTGACCTGGACCTCCGGATGGTATAGGATTATGCACTCCCATTGAGTTAGACAACGGTCTTTCCATGCTAGACCTCATAAGCCCTGACCAAAAGAAAGTGAAGAATCCGATCATCCCAAGTTCAATTGCTTTTAGAGGATGCACAATTCAGATAACCATAAGTATTTATGAGCAACTTATAATTACACACCATCCTGCACATGAGGAGCCCCTGAGCATGATGGTCTTGCTCCAGACACCCAAGCAGCATGCTGATTATCGGGGCTAAAATCACTAGAATGTGCTCTCCTTTGCTCATCAGACACATATTGTCTGTGACTATTAGAAACAGATGGCAACGAGTAAGGATTGTAAGGTTGCTGTACTGGTTGTTGACTCATTGGAGTAACATGCGGAAAATGTCCAGCAGGAATTTGTACATTTGGAAGGGGATAACTGGAGGGAGTTTGTGAAGGGAGAAGTGAATGGTAAGGTCTTTGGTGGAAGGATGCATTTCCTTGTTGAAACTGGTGAATGTGACTAGAAGTTTGAGGAGCTAAATACATATCATTATGCCCATATTCAAATGGCCTAGAGGACGTAAAGTTATTTAGAGACTGTGTATTGTTCATTCCATTTTCCATAAAGTTTGGACACTGCTGCGGAACCACTTCACTCTTCAGAGAAGTTTCCTGTCCCTGCATTGCAGAATTACCAGCCATATGGACTAAATGTTTGCCCTGCACACACATGTCAAAAGTCAAATATGTAATATATTCAAGTTATAGTAAAAGGCTACAAGCTATTAATGAGAAAGCCTTACGTTTGGCATTCTGAATTCTTCCTGCATAGGGGGATAAAACAAAGCTGGTGAGGATGATGACAGCGCAGGTGGAAGTGGAACAGAAGGCAGCGATGTCGGTCCAGGTAGTGGTAGTGGTGGTGGGGGTGGAGGCGGGTTTAGGGATGGTGACAATGGTGGTGGTGGAGGAGGCGACGGTGGTGGTGAAGAAGGCAATGGCGGTGGAGGTGGCGGTGGTGGTGGAGAATCCAAAGGAGGTGGAGGAGAAGTAGGTAGAGGGGGCAGCTCACTCGGATTAGCAGATGTTGCTTTCAAGGATACACTAGAGTCCTGATGCTGTAATTCAATTTTTTGATGATCATTTCTCATGATGTCTTTATCATCTTTGGACAAAGTAGCATCTTCCATTTCAAGTTCACCATCTACATCCTTTAGTATATGATGATGTCTGTCGCTGGGTGTGATTGCATATGTATCTAATTCTTCCAAAGTATTGTCAGATTCAACTGGCATTTCATTGCCAGAATTTCTGCGAAGAGTGATAAGAGGATCTTCCTCATCTTCAAAAACACAAGATGATAACAATCCAGGAAGTTGAAATGTTGCATTGCTGAAAAGAAACATTAATATGCAGGTAAGAAACATTATTGTGTCAGAAGTTAACTGGTAAAAATAGCAGGTAAGAAAAATATATATAACTTTAAGGATAAAATATAACAATAATACGTGGCTATACAAGGTAGAAAATAGTTGGAAGTAAAGAAAAAGTACAAAGAAACAAAAGGAGAAGACAGGGAAAAAGTAGAAAGATTGGAAAAACAATAGAAACAGAAGAAAGAGAAGATATGAAGAGAACAAAACGAGAAGACAAATTAAATGGAAAACAGAACAAAGCAATATGAAGGGAAAAAACAAACAAAGGTAAATAGTCATAAGAAACAAAGAAAGGAATTTTATGGTTAGAAAGGACACAAATGAGACAAAAAAGAACACTACAACTTAAAACTCCATTAACAAACAGAGAAAATACATCATAAAGTGCTTGTTTCAGTGCACAGATAATGTTTTCGTGACTCGAATTGCTGACAACCAGGTAACAAAGTAATTTACCATAATTGTAAAAATCATATTTTACAAGTAAAAGCACTCAACAGCACAATATCAAAACTATCAGAACATTCTAGATTGTAAATAACTTCAGAAGCTATCAGCTTCTACATGTATTAGAAAGCTAGCAGTTTACACACATACTGAATCTTAAAACAAGTTTCTTGGTGTGAAAAATGGAAACAAATAGGACAAAGCTGAAGGAAGATAAAAGTCATAGAAAGGAAGTAGATACAAGAAAAAAGAGCTTTAAAGCACATTAATATAACTAAAAGAAAAAGATATTAATAAGGATGATGCAAATATTTAAGATATAAACTACAAGACAATACACTAGAGGAGGCTTAAAAGCAAAAGATAAATAAAACAGGAAAACTTCTGATTTCCAATAAGGACAAGAAAACAGAGAGTGAAGGGAACAAAAGCAAGAAGGAAGAAAATAGTGAAGGTTTTCATATAATGACAGAAAAATTTCCTTCAGAAAAGTTATGATACTATTAGATGCTATGAGTTCACTCACAGCAACATATGTTTCGACAAAATGAGGATGTCACAAAAGGATATGTAATTAAACTTGGAAGAACATCTTAATGAACAAGCCAATACGCCAATGAAGGACAATATGTAGGTTCCTCTAAATATGGATTATGGTCACATGAAAATAGATATGAGATAATGACAAAAGAACAACCAAATTTTAATTAAAAAATAGCTTTGCAAATAATAACATAGAGCTTTTTATCATCAAGAAGTTTGGATTGCACACTAAAACAAACATAAGAGAGAATTTTCGATAAAACAAGGGTGTAAAGATAGATATTTGTTAATACCAAGGTTCGTAATTTCGTATCGTACCAATGAATCGAGCTTTGCTCAGTACAGTATAGGCATACCGAACGGTATGTCAGGTGTACCGCTCGGTATATATATATATATATATATATATATATATATATATATATATATATATATATATAATATATAATAATATATAAATAATATTAAAAAAAAGGAGGCGTACTGTCAC